CGAGCACGAGAATTGCGCTGAGACAAGCTCTGGTCGCCCGGCCAGAATCCGATCCAATACAGTGTACCGTTGCACAGGCCTTCGCCGCATTGTCCCGACCGCCTCCGAGCCTCAGCCTCTCTCCCGGACGGTTTTCGTGCCGCACCCTTGTCCTCCGACACTCCAGACAGCTGAGCTCCGTTGCGGCCAATCACACGGCCCGATTACCATCGTCCACAACTTCGAGCAGCCCCACGGTCAACGGCCTCGGTAGATCTGTACGCAACGCTGGATCACTAGCAGCAGGCACCAAGGCATCCCGGGCCCGGATCGAAATGTCCTCGCCTTCACAAACTACAAATACCCAGGTCGGCCCCCTACCCGACTCCCTTTCATCCCGCTCCGACCCCAAGAAGCGTGACGTCTCCCCCTCTCCACTCCTCGAGCAAGACTTTGTCCGCCAGCAGATTGAGAAGCAGCACAACAGCAATTTCAATTCTACCGCTCTTAGGACCTTCACAACCATGACTTCTGTCAACAAGACCAATCTGCACCCTGGCGGTGTCCAGTGAGTTGTCTCGTGTCACTGTTATTGCATTGCCATGTTCTGATCACCTTTGGAATAGACCCCAGCGCGAGCACACCGAGATCGAGGAGGAGCTCCACGAGAAGGCCCACATCGACTACGACCGTGTCGCCATTGTGAGTCTATGACCCACGAGTCGTGGTCAGTGTGAGCCAATGAATGACTAACAGCCGCCACCAGGTCGCCAACCCTTCCGCTGCTGCCCTTTACGAAGATGCCCTCGTCTACGAGACTGGCTCAGCTATCACCTCGTCCGGTGCCCTGTCCGCCTACTCTGGCGCGAAGACCGGCCGCTCACCCTCGGACAAGCGTATCGTCAAGGAGGAGAGCTCAGAAAAGGACATCTGGTGGGGACCTGTGAACAAACCCATGGAACCGGCGGTACGTATCTCAATTCCGTTTGCATCTGTTTGCATTGCACATGTCCGCCGACGCAGCGCGGGGCAGGCACGGGGCTGCGCGTGCCTGGATGGCGGGAGCCACACATGTCGCCGCAGCCCCGCCTCCGCTGATTGGCCTCGGCCACCATCGGCCTTACCCCGAACCAACACCAAACTCAATTTGACCTGTGCTTCCGATTTATTTTCATACTGACAACCCCGCTAGGTCTGGAAGATCAACCGTGAGCGTGCTGTCGACTACCTCAACACTCGCAACCGAATCTATGTCATCGACGGTTATGCAGGCTGGGACGAGCGCTACCGCATTCGCGTGCGTGTCGTCTGCGCCCGTGCCTACCATGCTCTGTTCATGCGCAACATGTTGATCCGCCCTTCGCGCGCCGAGCTGGAGCACTTCCACCCGGACTATGTCATCTACAACGCTGGTGCTTTCCCTGCCAACAGGTTCACCACCGGTATGACCTCGTCCACCTCCGTCGCCATCAACTTTGCCGAGAAGGAGATGGTCATCCTCGGTACCGAGTACGCTGGTGAGATGAAGAAGGGTGTCTTCACCGTCCTCTTCTACGAGATGCCTGTCAAGCACAACGTCTTGACTCTTCACTCCTCTGCCAACGAGGGCAAGAATGGCGATGTCACCGTCTTCTTCGGTCTGTCCGGAACTGGCAAGACAACCCTCTCTGCTGATCCCAAGCGTGCCCTGATCGGTGACGACGAGCACTGCTGGTCCGACAAGGGTGTCTTCAACATCGAGGGTGGTTGTTACGCCAAGTGCATCGGCCTGTCCGCGGAGAAGGAGCCCGATATTTTCAACGCCATCCGCTTTGGATCCATCCTTGAGAACGTCGTTTTCGACCCCGTCACCCGTGAGGTCGACTACGATGACTCCACTCTGACCGAGAACACCCGTTGGTGAGTATTATCACGCGTACTTGTCCCATCCTTACTGACCTCTTGTGCAGCGCCTACCCCATCGAGTACATCGAGAACACCAAGATCCCCTGCATTAGCTCCCAGCACCCTTCGAACATCATCCTCCTCACCTGCGACGCCCGCGGTGTCCTGCCTCCCATCTCCAAGCTCACCCCCGAGCAGACCATGTTCCACTTCATCTCCGGTTACACTAGCAAGATGGCTGGTACTGAGGTTGGCGTCACTGAGCCCCAGGCTACCTTCTCGTCTTGCTTCGCTCAACCCTTCTTGGCTCTGCACCCCATGCGCTACGCCAAGATGTTGGCAGACAAGATCAAGGAGCACAGCGCCAATGCATGGCTCCTGAACACCGGCTGGGTCGGTGCCGGCGCGAGCACAGGAGGAAAGAGATGTCCATTGTTCGTGGCTAGAATCCTTGTTTTGAAACGACTAGATGCTGACAGTAACCAGGAAATACACTCGTGCCATCCTCGACGCCATCCACTCCGGCGAACTCGCCAAGGTCGAGTTCGAGACCTACGAGACCTTCAACCTCCACGTTCCCAAGACCTGCCCCGGCGTTCCCGACGAGCTCCTCAACCCGGCCAAAAGCTGGACTGGCACCGCCGACTTCAAGGGCGAAGTCACCAAGCTCGGCCAGCTGTTCGTCGAGAACTTCAAGAAGTACGAGAGCGAAGCTACCGACGACGTCATTGCCGCTGGGCCCAAGGTCTAAATGTCATGTGAAAGAGTTGGACAGCAGTTGTTGTCGTCGTCGAGGAATTCGACAACTGGGGAGGACAAAGGTGAACAAAACTTGCAGCAGCCCGCGCTGCCGGCCGTGGGACAAAGGAGAGCAATCGTGGTCGATAACACAGAATGTGTGTGTGCATAGCGTGATTTATTTTTAGATACGTTCTGAATGCGATTTCCTTGATAACGATATCTCGAATTCCGAAACTGGAAATGAACATGAAGTGAAGCGTCGTCGAGACTGCGCGGCAGAGTGCTCGCTGCAACGATATTCCACCTCACCTCCACTTCTCTCAGTACTCGTACACTGGCTCGGGTGATATCGTACTCAAGCCGTGCCTCATAAAGACTTTTTAGAGCTGGCACTCGTTCTTTACCAGGCTGACTGATACCGCCGCTATCAGTATTGTGGAAATGGTATCTCAAGGCGCCAGCCCATCTGCGTCCAAGTCCGGGGGCTTTGACCCGGATATCGTGAGGGAATTCCTCCGCTGTATGCAGCCTCGATGAGCTACCATCTGAACATGTCCACGTCCAGTGGCTCATCCGGCCCGGCTTTCGCAAACCTGACGAGTTGCTGCATGGTTTTCTCGATGTTTCTAGGCTCGTTTCTACAAGACTGAGATTCATCTGATCATGAAAGGTGAAGCCAGTTTTTTACTTATTTGGCCCTATTAGCTGAGCGTTCGGCTTTCGTTACTTCAGCTTTGCCTTTGGTAACCACATCGAAAGGCGCGTTTGTCTCTTTCTGTACTTATCAAAAGTCTGCTTCCTATCCTCGGGAGTTTGCGACTGGCTAGCGGCCGGTGTAGGTAAAGTTGATGTCTCGTCATGTTGAGTCATGCCGCAATTCTGGGCGTATCATTGCAATTGCTATCTTGATTCGATTGGTGAAACTTATGATGCCATCAGTGAGGATCGTTGCTCCAATCTGCTTAAAATACTTTCAGACCAGTGCATCATATGGCATGACCACGACCACCGCAATATGCACAAAGGAATGCCCGCCAACCTACATGAAGACTCCTTGCGCGGGACGCCGGCCATGAAGCACACCATCCTGCACGACTTGCTGCATAGCAGGGTGCGCAGAGAATTGCATCACGAGATGCCCGAAAGGTGGTCAAGCGAGATGTCGAGCTATTGGCGCACCATCTGGAAGGCCTAGCCACGACGCAGCATACACGGCGTAGTCCCCCCCGACCTACCTGGCGAAACCTATCGCTGACTGCAAGCCGGAATGTTGACCATCTAGCACCTGCAGCTGGACACCAGATTGGACCGAGAAGTGCCACGAGAAGTGCCACGAGAAGTGCCCCTCGATCTGCCCCGCGAGTCTCTAGGCCAGAAGCCGACCATATCGCGGGCCAGGTTGCATGGCCTGCCACGCAGCATCTTGCTGCGCACACTGCGTAACATCCCGTACACCTCTCAGCGTAGCCTAGTGCTGCCCAGCGATAACCCCAGGATTGTTCCGGGCGACATGTCCGCCGACATGCCCATCGACTCGCTCGCCGGACCCATATACTCGCAGCGAGCCAAGCAGCATACCACAGTGCATGCCACCGAGCATCGCTAGTAGCGTCGCAGAATGCTCAAGTCAGACCATACCAGCCTGCCTCATAGGAAGCTGGGCTGATCGCTGGCTGACGAACGCGTCGTATCGCGCAGGGAAGTGCCCCACTATCCGCCCCTCAGATCTTCGGGCTTGTTGTCAGGCAGTTCGCATAGTGCACTTCATGCCACAACCCACAGCCGGAGGGTTCGCAGGATGCCGGCGGATGTACTCACCCATTTGCTGCGCGGAATGTTGGGCATATCACTGGCCGATGTGTACGGCTGTCGGCGCAGGGTTGTGCCCTCCGATCCGCCTGGCGCAGGGTTTGGACCGGTAGGCGGTCGACTCGCACACCCTTCTTCGTAGCTAGCAGCTTAGCCGTACGCATAGCAATGTGCGTGCCGATGTCTCATGCGAGTCTCGAGAGAATAGGCGCGACGGCGGATACGACGGAGAGGGTTCATCTTCCTTGTGATTCTTGTAGAAGCCCTTGGACCTACTAGTGGCCTCGGTGGAGGTCGTTGAAGGACCACGGAGACATGGCCGTTCGCCGCAGGGTTTCTGTCGGAGTTTGTTTCAGCCTGCGAAAAACCCTGTGAACCAGTCCCACAGCATCAATACTTAAAAGACAGACCTCCACCTAACCATACGAGTGACTTCGATACATACTTTGCAAAAACCTACGCCATGTTTATTTTTTGCTCCCTTAACGCCCGAGCGATGCGCTGCGATCGACTGCGCACAGCTAGAAGTTGCCTTCACACCGTCGGCTGCGAAAGAAAAAATGTAAAAAAAAAAGCGAAGCTTTAAATGCCCCCATCCCGAGTCGAACGAGAGATCTTCGCATATCAGTACGATGTACAAGTGCGACGCGGTAGCCACTGCGCCATAGGGGCATTAATTGGAATTGGAGACGAAGATAATGCAGTATATATTGTGTATACAATTTTCGTTCTTGATTTTTTTTCACGGTCATCAGACTCAAAATCTCTCGCTGATGTCTGATGGACGAATAACAACACTACACACATCTACGATCAGTCCAATTGCTTATGGCTTCTCCGCAGCCCAGCTACGAGTACTAGTCCTGGAGCGAGTCCGTGTTCATCCGTTGGCCGATATCACTCAGCAGCAGAGTCCGTTTTTCCAGCAGCCATTCGCAACGAGATATCGATCGAGCAAATGGTCGAGCTCAAATGGTTTGGGAAATTTATGCTCGCATTTTGCATCTGCTCATTGGGAACTGATAGTCAAAAAAGTTCCCGCACATCAGACTTATGATCTGAAAAACCATGGAAATTTTCCACCTGTGACTGACAAATGTAACGATAGTGGAAAGGGTCACGTGATGTCTGGAGCTTGCTTCACTTCACTAATAAATTCAATCGGCTTCGACATCCAATAGAATATCTCTTTGTGCTTCAAGAAGCTGTGCCCATAGTCTTCCACTCTAGGCTAATACTAGTAGCTGAAGCTCCCACCGCCTGGCAAGCACTATGTAAGTCTACACTGGGGCTTAAATAGCTACCTTCCGCTGTTATTATAAGCAAATGGCTTCCTTGTACCGCCCGGTGTCGCCACAGTATCTCCAATGGCCACTTTCAAAATGTATTCCTTCGTAGTTTTAGCACTTGGTAGGCTTTTAAGTTTCTTGAAATAAACCGCCAGTCCAGCTACATAGGCAGCAGCTTGTGCCGTGCCTGATTTCTGCTGGAATCGCAACGGGTTTTTGATGTCTTTGTGGTGTATCGTTGACATTATCAGCACTCCTGGTGCATAGATGTCGACATTCGTACCATAGTTGGAGAAGGGCGCTCGCTTTCGTTCTCTGTAAAGCATTAGCAAATATCGCGGTCATGGTCCGGTGGACAACGCACTTATCAGTAGCTCCTACAGTCAAAGCGTTCTGAGCCGACTCCCGCGTTCTAGCGGTATTCTTATTGTCATTCCCAGCACAAACGACTGTCAGAATGCCGCGACTCGCGGCTTGGTCTACAGCTTTGTTGAACGCTGGCGAAATTGCGCCATATACAGTGACAGCGATGACTCCCATACGTATTCGACGTTTCGAAACAATATCATTCACTGCCCATCGATAACCATCAATGATTTTCGACAATTGAGCCGAATCTCTTTGGAAAACCTTTACAGCGATCATTCTGGTCTTTTTGGCGACACCGAAATTAGTGCTACCCATTATGCCAGCGACGTGTGTCCCACTACCATAGGTGTCGTTAAACATTTTGGCCCCAGGAGCCAGTGCAGTGTAACCCCGGTAAGCACGGTTCTCAAAATAGGGATGATAGACATCGATACCACTGTCAACAACGTATGCAAATGTTCCAGCTCCTGCAGAGTCGTCATAAATATACTTCTCGTCCCCTGGTTGTGGTCTGGACGGTTGTTTCCCAGGTTGCTTTGGAGGTTGTTTTCCGGGTTGCTTCGGAGGCTGCCTCGGAGGCTCAGGATCCTCGGGGTCATCAGGATCATCAGGAGGTGCAGGTGGTGGAAATCCACCAATGTGACGATGCGAAATCAATACGAGGCCATAGCCAGCATTGCCCTGCTCAACCAGGGCATCGGGAGTCCAGACTTTGTCATTCTCGACGAAGTCGACATCGTCGTGGTGCTTTAGTTGTTCGATAACAGCTTCGTCAAAATGACCAGCATAGCCGTTGTATCCAGTAATGTTATAGTTGTGAGTGACGCCCTCAAAACCATGACCATCTTGCCTCTTAGCTAGCGCCGCCTTGTGGATGTCCTGAACATAAGTCATGTGCTTCTCAACATCGACGCTTGGCTTGAGCGTTACGATATATCTATCGGTGACGTCTACCACATATTGACCATGTTCCTCAAGAGAGTTGTCGTCAAAAGCATACACAATGGTGAGAAAGGTAGCAGCTAGTGCAAGAGGGCACCATGGAAAGAGCATTTTGCTTCAGTCGTGAGCCCGTGATCAGCGCTCAAGACCGGCACTAGAGGAAAAACATAACCAAGAAGTCGTCTTGCTTTTATGTTCAAGACAGCCGCAGGCCGGAGCCATATCGGAGATTGCAGTACCAGATCATGTGTGGTTCCTCGAACTACTGACGATGGATGCTCTTGATTCCCTACAATGTTTTATTAGATAGAAGTGGGGAGAGCATTGTGGCGGTAGAGAGCAGGTTTCACGAAGAACGACCGAAAGTCATGCGAATGGCGAATGATTAGCGAATCATCAGTCAGAAAAGAGGAGAGCTTGGTCGGACCATCAGACCGAGATTTTGGTGCACTGCATACCGTTTACGGTGTATATCCAGTGCTCTCAACACCGAAATTTGCGATTATAAGTCTTCAGTCTGGACGATAGCGAGTCGAGCTCCCTGGTGAAAGTACTGTTACGATCTTGATCTGGTCTCAAGCTTGGCAAATGGTATGCATTATTGGCGCTGCCCAACCACAAGATATATCGACAAAGCGCATGATTGTCCACAGGTGTGCGGGCTTATGCTGTCAAGACAAGCTTAAAATTAAATCCCCGCTGCCAAGGGTCATGGTAGTGGCGAATCGCACTCCAAGCTTAAGATGCATGGTTCCAGTGCTGTGTGTGATGTATTCGTACTCGTACCCTTGCGGTAGCTCGGCTAAGTTCGAACTTTTTGTTCGATGCCCGATTTAGATAACTCGCTTGATTTGCCAGATATAGAGACTGTGACATAGATGGTCTAGCCGGAGACACGATACACACAGATTGGTGGTGATCTTCGGCATTGGAGTAGGGCTGGAATCGATGCATGTACAATCGCCGCGAAGGGCGCCATATTTTCGACAAGACATCGTAATAACACGGCTTGGCTGGTTCCGAGTAGAATCCAGACCTGCCTAGGAAAAATTTCGGAAATATGTCGCGATGGTGAAGCATATAAGGATCGCTTGTCCGTCGGCGTTCATCATGATCAAGACCGATAGGGCTGATGTGGGGCCCTTCAGGCAATGGTCCCGAGCCTCTTTTTCAACCAGGTTTGCCCGCGCCGAAATGAATTCCACCATCCTCCAACGGAGATTCATCTGAGCAGTTCGGCGCTCATGATACCACCTGCACTGCTTATTAAGTTCGCAATCTCCATGCGGGTGTCAGGGATGGTGCAAGTGAGATGAGGAATGCATTAATTGAGGATTACTGCATGATTCCTTAGGGTAGGATAACGCCCGTTCGAGCCGACACAGCGGCTGTTGCGATACTTGCTTCCTCCGTACCCGCCGCCTTAAAGCCTGTCATTATACATCATAGCTATTTGCAGCAATTACCGGCCGTTAAACAAAGCCTAGAAGCCCCGTCGTCCCAACCATTCGACATTGATCATGCATCATCCGCAAGCTGTTCCACCAGGTCGTCCATCAAATTACCGTCATTAGGTACGCGGTCCTTCCACACCGCACCCAAGATACGCCACGCCCTTCGGAACTCGTCTCTGATGGCTACTACACCATTGTGGGTGACAGTACGAGCCACATTATGAGTCAACTCGAAGGGGTCCTCGACTGCAAAGAGGTATCGATGACGAATTTCTTTCTGAATACTTGTCAGCATGAAAACCGCGTCGCGGGTGGGACAAAGCTCACCGTATCCACAGTCTCAGTCTTCGCTCCAGTCCAACCCTTTTCCTCCTTGGTCAATATCCCTCCAGGGGTGCGAAGACTGAGGACACTCTTCATCCAGATAAATCCCCAGCCAGACAGAGAAGTGGCGTAGTACTGAAAAAACCCAGTCAGCAGAGCTCCCAGTGGCTCGTTGTTCCTTGAGAGGCGACCCATCATCGCCGCTTCCCGAATGGCAGCGTCATCATTCCAGAAATGGACTTCCCATCCTTCCACAGTCTTGACCGGAAGATTCATTTTGTTGGCTTCCGTTTGCAGATTTGGGAGCACTGGAGGTTTTGCAACATTGACCAGATAATGCAACACCATGAGAACATAGCCATATGAAGAAAGTGTTCCGCTGTAGGGACTGTTGATCTTCCTCTTCTTTGCCCATGCTTTGATAAACATGATCATTGGCTGTACACGACGGTCACAAAGCGAGTAGCAGTATAGCATTTGGGTATTATGCAGTCCAAGAGGGTTGAAAAAGTTGATGTCACATTGTATGCCCACACCATCCTTGGGAAAATCAAGCGGACCTTGCTTCTTCTCCCGCAGCCAGCGTTTTTGAGAATGGTTGGTGCTGGTTGTTGCTTTTGGCTCTGGTTGGGAGCCGTTCTCAGCCAGTAATGCTTTGTCGCCTTCAAGAATATTGTTCAAATGAGGTGTCTCGGACAAGTTCGTCTTGGCGATACCAGATGTGAGCTCCTGCATCGGCTGATCATTAGAGTGGCTTGGCGATGTTGACGCATCATCTTTGGTCTGATCACGATTTTCCAAGGGCTTTCTATTGCCCGACTCGTCATATTTCTCCTCCTCAGGTAGTTCGTCCCATTTAGCACGAGCGTCCTTGAGCGCCTGGAGGAGGTCCGATGGTGGGCTTTCGCACACCTTGATTATGGGTACACGAGCCCTGGTCAAAAGTCGAGCGCCGATGCCACGATCGAGCAGATACTTCTCCAGCCTTCGAGGAAGCCCATCTTGACGCATTGAGATATGTGCCGAACCATCACTGCCCGTATCGTCAACGATGACAAGATCCATATCAGAACCCTTAGTGGCGAAACCTGATCGGAGACTGCCAAAGGTCTGTACAGTCATTGGGTTCTGTACAACGGTCCCCCCCTCGGCCTGGACGGCTTGGAAAGCGGCTTCCAAGTGCAGGCGAAAAGCCATTTTCGATTCGAATTCTTCAGACGTTATTCCGATTTCGGGAATCACACGATTTGCTATTTCCTCGAGGTAGTCCCAGCGCTGATCTGGTCTGAAACGT